ATAGCTGTTTAAATGCACCAGTCTGTTTCCTAAGGTACTGAGGAAATCCTAATGGTTTACATATATACACTAATTATGTCACAAGACACGGGAAGGCAGAAGATTGTACAGATCCCAAGCTGATGGAAGACAGCTGAAGTTCCGTAGCCAAATTGTTTTTGAGATAGAGATCTATGGCTGTAATGGGGTTTAGTCTGGGCAGGTGATCATACCTGTCACTAACAAGGAGTGCTAAGGAACTGTGGCTGTGTGTATCTGATGTGTGGTCAGACCCCATGTGAGTGAAATTAGGTGTTGTGCTTTGTTACATATCAGATGACAGTCTTTCCCTAGCCAAACAACTGACCATAGCAACTGGAGGAAACATCCAATGAAAATACAGAGATAGCTTTTTGTAAGGTTAAAGGGAGACAGTTTCTAATTGAAGACTTTTCCATACCTGTCTGAGGCATAACTTTGATAATGAATGGGTTATTTCATTAAATTTACTATAATAGATTATAAGCAAAATCCTAAATATGTAGGTTGGACAGTGCTATATTTTCAAAATGAAAAACTTTTAGCTGTGTGAGGTGAATATGGAGCAGGGCTCTATTCTTTTTCTTCTATCCTCTCATCAATTATGAATAACACAGAATTTGTGATTCTCTTGTAATAGACCCTCACATAAGGGTGTAACACAACCAAATGGTTGTGCATTGCTCTGTAGAGCTTATAACTTAAAGAGGAATACTGCCAAAGACTAAGGGCAGAGCTAATTATATACCAATATGGTTTAATGCTGTTTAAATGAAGCAATAGAAACCATTTAGTGAAGGGAAAACTTTAAACTTTAACTAGTCTTGCTATTTTTTCACCATTTCTGGTACAACAGTGCATATTTATGAAGACTGATTAGGAAACAGACTTTTTAATTTTATTTTCAGTGTTGAGACATAAACAGCTATGACTTTTATTAAGTGAATAAACAGAAAATTTAATAAAATCGGAACTTAGCTCCCAGTGTAGCTTTAATTATTTCCTAAGAAGCAAATTAAAAGTTTCCATTCATATATAAAGCCCTGGCACATGCTACTTCATGACATGGCCATGAGCAACCTGTTCAAGTTGGTCCTGCTTTGAGCAGAGAGTTGGACTGGAGACTGTCCAGCCTCAAATGTTCTGTGATTCAGTGATGCATTAGAATAGAGAATTTGAGGTCAAACAGATACAAAGAAGACAAGCATATGGGAGAGAAGCAAAATTAATTATTTTCTTTGCTGTTAGTAATGGAAGAACCTGGAAAGATTTCTTAGGGAGTGGAAGAGATGGCAAATAGGAGATACAGCAGAGGATTTCTCTAACTCTGGAATAACTGGAGTGTGTTACGTAGAATACGGATCAATAAATTACTCTGGCTGGATTTGGTATTCATTCAAAAAGTCATAAAACCCCTGCAGAATGAAAGAGCTGAATTGTTTACGGCCACGTGCAGGGGTCCCATAGTCCTATCCTGAGAAGGTGAAAGGTGATACGAAAGAATAAATGCTGGTGATAAACCCCTGTCTCAGGGCACATACTACCTCCTTTCCTTCTACAGTCACCACTCTTTTTTTTTTTTTTTTCCTGCTGTACAGTATTTATTTTACCCTGAATGTTTATGAGCCAGTGAAATTCTACACCTGCACATCTGAGAGGCCTTGAACCACTCTCAGGTAATAATAGATAGCAGTGAGAGTTTTGGAGCAGGTGGGAAGCAGGTCTTGAGTTCCTGGTGTTCAAACGCTGTTGCTCTTATCATTCTTCATGCAAAGGAAATAAACACAACTTAACAAATCTTCCTTTTATTAACTTCAAAACCAAAACATCTCCCTCCCCCAAACCAAGATGTACACGCTAAGACAAGGCTTTTCACCAACAAACCAAAAAGCCCTCAAACACATTCCCATGAGGCTGGTGTAATTAGTGTGTATCTCCAATAGGAAAAAGAATGGACTGCAGTAACTCCTTGAAAACACATTATTTGTATTATACAAACTACAAATAGTAAACAGCTACTATGAAAAATGAAACTAATGTTATAGTTGTTTTTGTAAACACCTGCAAAATTGTTTTGTTTCCACAGGCATTACATAGGAGTAAATTCCTTTTGTGAAGTGAGAATAGAACACCAAAATAAGAAACTTAAACTGCTAGACTGTTGAACAGTTAACTTCGGTAAATAATGCCTTATCTGAAGATAAAGGTGAGAGAACAAAACAGAGTTGTTTAGGAAAACAAAACACAGTTGTTTAGGTATGAAATTGTGTGCATGAAGTATTTCTGTATATTGCTAAACTTAAGCATGTTTGGGTTCTTTAATGATAGTGCAATTGTAAGTTTGAGTTCCTGTGAAGTCTGTGCTCTCTACAGATCAAGTCACTGTTCTCAAGATTTAAAAGCTGTGATGAGAGAGACAAATTACACAGCTCAAGAAATGGTTTTCCCATGACTGATTCTAGTAATGTGGAATTTCATCAGAGTTCTTGATGCAATTTGCTCCTCACTCAAAAGAAGGTACCTAAGAGTTACCACAGTGGTGAAACAGTAGGAGTGGAGTATAAACCTGTACTGCTTCCAGGGAAAACATGATTCTTCTGTAGCTGAAGTGAGGTCACCAAGTCTTAAAGATACCTACTTTCTTCCTTCTTTCCCCTTCTGCTGTTACAGTGTTTTATCTCTAATCTATTGGCTCAAACCTATTTTTTTCGTTTCTACAGACATAATTCATCCACAAAGACTCCATATTCAGTGGTTTATCACCTAAATGGGACATCAGTAGTGACAGGTAGGGAGATGGAAAGGATTATGTAAAAAAAGGAAAAAAAAAAAAAAAACAAGAAGAAAAGGAAATCTGTTTTAACCAAATGGATTCAAGCAAGGGAATGAGGGAAACAGAAGCCAATAAGGGCAGAAAAAGAGGAAAGAAGTGAAATGATCTGATGAGAATGTCATGAGGTCTAGTGCCAAGACATCATCATCATGATCATGGCTAGGCTTTGTGAACGAAGATTTGAGAAGGGCTCTACCCACTCTTGCTGTAAGCGTGTTGATGGCTGAAAAGGCCAATGCGAGATAGACAAGTCCGGTTGCAGAAGGCACAGCAGAAAGACTCCCCAGGTGATATCGACGAGATGCGATTCTTTCTGCATTGTCTTTTCTCCTCGAGAGTGATCCTGCGTGTGTTCTCAAAAGCAGCAGCAGCGTTATAGATGGTGTGTCTCCAGGCCTCCCGATTGGAGGCCAGGGTAGACCAATGGTGGTGATCAATACGGCCAAGGCTGAGGGATTGTTTCAGGCAGTCCTTGTATCTCCTCTTCGGGGCTCCTCTCTTGCAGAAGCCAGTGGCGAGTTCTCCATATAGCATGATCTTAGGGAGGCGATGGTCCTGCATCCTGGAGACGTGCCCTGCCCAGCGCAGCTGAGTTCTCAGCAGCATGGCCTCAATGCTCGTGACTGCTGCCTGTTCAAGGACAGACGTGTTGGTCACATAGTCAGTCCAGTGGATGTTCAGGATTGCAGGGAGGCAACACTGATGGAAGTGTTCTAAGAGACGCAAGTGGTGCCGGTAAATGACCCATGATTCAGACCCATATAAAAGAGTAGACAGTACAATGGCTCTGTAAATGTTGATCTTTGTACTTTTCTTCAGGTGTTTGTTTCGCCACACTCTTTTATGGAGTTTACCAAAAGCTCTGTATGCCTTTGCTAACCTGTTGTCTATTTCTGCATCAATCTTACCATCCAAGGAGATGCTGCTTCCCAGGTAATGAAATTGCTGAACTGATTTAAGCTCTGTTTCACCAATGGTGATATGGGGATGGTGGAAGACAATTATGAGTCATATATGTCTAGACAATCAGCAGCAGCAATAGCCGTCATTGATAAATTTTTTGGTCAGTTTTATCTTATTCATTGCTTTCAAGGTTTTCTCAGGACTACAGTAAACCCATGCCTTCTGGCAGGTGTTAAATGTTTGTTATATGAACTAGAAGAGGGATTGTTTTGCAGAACTGCCATGAGTAAAAGTAGCAAAACCATGGGATGATGCCAAGTAAGGAGACTCAGTTAATAGAAATATTCACGTTGCTGTTCCAGTGGTTGCAACTGACATTATACTCAATATAGGGCAATACAGAAGGGCACTGTTGTTTTCACATCATTATTTTCCTGTCTTTAGCCTCATTTCAAAGCATGGGAATCATACTAATTTAGAAGATTTTACCATTAGGTGTCTTCTGAGTAAAGGTCATAGAATGTGGTCAAAAGATAACACAATGCAATGGACAATATATGAACCATAAAGAGATTTACAGAGAAACTTTCTTAGGATTCAGTCTACAAAGCTGT